TACCCTATATAGCAGCAGAGAAGCTCACAGTTGATTTGCCAACCCAATCAACCTTGCAAGTTTAAAACCATGAGAATCAAATGAGGGGAGATTGGCCCTCCCGGCACACGTGTAATGCTGTATGATCCTAAAGCAAAGTTGGATAATTATTTTTCACTGAGGGGCATAGTTCACTGTTGCTTCTGCTGTTATTGTTTTTTTTTTTTTAGATTTTTTTAAAATCCTGCCTTATTTTTATAAATAACTCAAGGCAACAAACATGCCTAATACTCCTTCCTCCTCCTATTTTCCCACAACAACCTTGTGAGATGAATTGGGCTGAGAGAGAGTGACAGACCCAAAGTCACTCAGCCAGCTTTCATGCCTAAGGTGGGATTAGAACTCCTGTATGCACATATATACAGAAAGAGAGATGGTATCCACTTGCATGTATGTGTGTGTAACAATAGCTCACCATCATTATATTGTCACTGTACACTACATTAATTTCAGTATTCTTTTCCAGGCAAAGAAGATCGAGTAATTTGGGGACTTTCAGAGATCGAACAGAAGGACTGGAAATGCAAGTTGTGTCCAAACCAGAATATATTTAGAGATTATATGTGACCACAAAGATCATATGGATTCTGAAGGCAGAAAGCTAGAACCTCATAAAATTATGTATTTTGGGAGGCATAAATGGGAAAAATAATTCACTTTGTGGCAATGTAAGTTCTACCAGCAGATGTCAACTCACAACACATTTATCAGACAACATGTAATATTATACATGCAACATATTTCAGTGTAAATAGCTTTTATCCACATGTAAAAACTTTCCTTTCCATATATCTATCTAATATCATAAACCTCATGTGACAATATACTGTCCCTTTGTACCACAGGAATGGGATACGTTGCAAAGTTAACTGCTGTTGTGAATGCTACTCACTTATTGGAATTGTAGATCAAATTATAAATATTTCAGGGAAGTCTATATATTCTTCAATTGCAGAAGATAAAATTTGTAAAGACACTAAAACAAAATTGTTATGGTTCTTTGACTCAACCCCATCAATGAATTTCAGGACATAAAAGCAATTCTTGATGTTTTCCTTGAAAATGGTGGGTATACGCTCAAGATCATATCATGGAAACTGGTTGGCTTTCTTCTTCCTCTTTAGCTTAACTTGGAATTTGCACATGAGCAGTTTGTGATCTGTTTCACAGTCAGTCACTGGCCACATCTCTCCTGTTGTAACTGAGCTCTTCCACCTCCTTGTACCAATAATGTAGTCAATTTGATTTCTATGTACTCCATCTGGGGATGTCCATGTATATTAGCATAATGTTGGTTGTTTGAAAACTGTGTTAGCAGTGAAGAAATCATTGGATTGGCAGAAATTGATAAATTGTTCTGCTTTATTTCAATTTCCTAGGCCAAGTACATTTTCCTTCTTAGTAATTTCAATTTTGGCATTCCAGTCACCAACTACAAGCAGTGCTTTTTGTTTGCATGTTCTATTTCTAACTGCATTTTGTCATAAAACTCATCCTCTTCCTCTTTTTCAGCATCAGTGGTTGGATCATAAACTTGGATAATAGTCATTGATTCCATTGTAGCTTTCTACCCACGTGGTTTTCATGGTAATACACAGGAGTGAATCATTGCCTTCTCCCATACAGTATGAATGACTGCCTTTGCCATTGTAATTAAAGTGATCATCCAGCTCCAGCATCATCCTATATCTCTGCTGCTCAATATAGGTGCCTGATTGCTTTAGCTGGGCAGCTAGAATGACTTCTACACCTTGTATGACCTTGCTGGTAGTATATACTCTTCGCATATAGTCCAGCATTTTTGCTTATCCCTTGCATGAATAACTATTGCCATAATGAGGCTGCATATCAGGACTTGAAGGAACATAACAATAATATTATATAATATTTTCAATATTATATCAATATTAAGATATAAATACTGAATTTATGGTCTCCCTGAAATGAGAAGTCTCATTTATGTGTTAAACTAGGATCCCACACATTTTGGCACTGAATTTTGGTCACTTGAATATTTGCCAATGACCTTGTATCATGGCAAAAACTTCAGCTCATCTTCAAATGTTGTACTGTTGTGCTGGCACTGCCATTGTTATATAGTATCATAAATCTAATTGCAATATTCAAGGTCACTTTTTTTTAAGGAGAAAAAAAGAGAACTCTATGGATATATTTATTTTAATCCCAAAGTGATCATCAAGACGGCATGTTCCTAGAAATAATAAAGTACTTCAGTCTTTTAATTTGTGGACAAATCTGATTTGTTCCCACAAAGCCCTTAAATGTACCAGGAAGACTATAGAATTGGTTAGAATAAATAGGTGCTTACATACCTTATTATTTAATGCAAAATTCAGGTTTTTACATGATCAGAACTATAAACTCTCCTAGCTGCTAAGATGGCACAGAGAGAAAATAGGTAATCATTAACATTACAAGGTTTTCTTGCAGAAATAGGATTAAATTGTGACATTAAATACAGTTATTCAGAAGTTTAAGGAGAGGAAGAAAGAATCAATCTGAAAACATCAATAATATTTCTGTGGTAAATTTCTTTCTTCTTTCCATTAGTCTTCTCCAGAGCAGAAGACTAATAGACCACATCATGAACTCTAGGCTGGCATCATCAATGTTCTTGAAAAGAATGTTCACATTCTTTTAAAATAGAATTTTAAAATGGTTTCCTTCCATTAGCCATCAGAGATATGAGAGAAGGGATGTGAAGATTCACCGTATGATAGATTTAGTCCATTTGGAAAATGATATTCACATTGTCATGGAGGGAATGGTTTGCCACAAAAAAGGCAATTCAGGTTGCATCACTGTGACAACAGTGTGTGCACCATCTCTTGGAAGTTCCTTCTAAAATTTCTCAGGAAAATGTCATTCTTTAGCATTCTCAATCTTTACTTTTGACTTTAGCTGCTTGGCAAGTTACTTCAATGTCAGTGTTACTTTTATGGGTGTGGGGGGGGAAGCTCCTCCCAATGTTTTGCAAGGCTATACAGTATCCACTCTTGGTTTGTAGTTGGTTGTATGTAGTTTTATTGTGCCTTGTTTTTGTTTTGTTTTGTTTTTATTTCTATGGCAGTAAGATGTGTTTTCTTATATGAAGTGAAATTTGTGGGAAATGTATGGCTCTTCATTTTGAATGGGAAATGAACAAATAAACATTTCCAGAAAATTTTCTGCCTAAAAATACACCCATATCCACAAACACAAATTTTGGAATGGCTTAATTGGTCCTATATTTCCCTGGTACAACCAGATATCTAAACAATGCAAACAACACCAGAAACCAACAATGCAAACATACTGTTTATGAACATCAAATGGCAATGGAACTTCTGCTACTAGCTCCTTAACTGATCTGGTTAAGTAACGTATTCAGTGCTAGAGTGGAATGGGGTTTGCTCTCTGTTTATATACAGTGGCATGCCCTGCCAGTGTTGGTGGGGGTGGGGTTTTTGTTTTATTTTATTTTTTCCCTCTGGTAGTTCATTTTGGATATCCATTTTGTTGGAAGATGTTATATACACAACTTTATCAAAAAGCGCCTGGCCACTCAACCTACTACAACACAACCAACACAAACTATGAAAAGGATCACACTGCCATACATCAGAAACGTCTCAGAAACTACCAACAGGCTATTACAACCACATGGCATCTCCGTAGCACACAAACCAACTAAAGCCCTCCAAAACATCTTAAGCAAACCAAAAGACCCAGTACTCGAAGAAGAAAAAACAGGAGTCATCTACAACATAACAAACTGTTAGCATCTTAGACCAAGCTAAATCCAAAAATGCAACGGAATTCCTGGAAGCTTGGTATTCAGACAAGACAGCCATCAACAGGCACATAGAGATAAACAACATCTACACACAAACAAGACAGCCATCAACAGGCACATAGAGATAAACAACATCTACACACAAACAAGACAGCCATCAACAGGCACATAGAGATAAACAACATCTACACACAAACAAGACAGCCATCAACAGGCACATAGAGATAAACAACATCTACACACTATTCAAAAGAGACAACAAAAAGGAAAACAAAAGACCAGAACATCTCCTCACCAGCAATCATCACCCAGATAAGCAGAGATTAACACCAAGATTATCACCAGACATACAATCAGCAGTTAACAATACCCTAATCAAGGAACTACCAGAGGGAAAATATAAAACAAAACAAAACCCACACCCCCACCAACACTGGCAGGGCATGCCACTGTATATAAACCCCATTCCACTCTAGCACTGCAGGTGTTACCTAGCCGGGTAACGAAACATTTGCAAGAAAACAGCCAAGCTCAGAGAACCCCAAGGACTCCACAGTTCAACCCTGAGCTACACATATTCCCTTCTATTGATCTGGTTAAGTACGTGGTACAGATGCAGCCAGTATGGAAGGCTCAGGATAAATGTTAATACAGCAAAGGATTCTGGCTGGTGGTACACACACATATGCATGGATGCCATGAATTCTTAACTTCATTTATTTTGGTCAAGTATACTTTCTTTGTTTGGTCCCTATGCCTGAAACATGTTCTTGATGACATACAGTAAACAAATGTTATTTTGTTCTCAAGAACATCTTATGATAGGCTTCTCTTTTGCCCTCCATGATCTGAAGTATGCTTGCTTACATTTGTAATACAATGTTAATGAAATCCACAGTGCTTGCAAACATATTCTCCATCTCTGCAAAGAGAAGACCCATATGTGAAGCATTTTTATAAAGCCAACGCAATTTGCTTTTTCCAGAATTCATTGCCTGCCTGCTTGCCTTCCTCAGCATGTATCTGCATGAGCAAGAGGGAGCTGGATCACTATCCTGAAGGTTTATAATCTAAATGTTGATCATGCAGAATTTAACATAAGAAAGGGAGGAAAAACAGATAAAAGTAATGGACCAAGTGTTAACTTGATTAAAATGATAGGGTCCAGGTTTTAAATCAGCTATAGCTTGACTTTTAAATGACTGAATAATATCCTAATTTACTTGGGAATTAAACACTGAGGGATCTCTATATATAGGTCACCTACAATATTAATAAATACCTTGATATTTTTAATTCTTTTAAATTAATAAATTAACCAATGCTTTTTTAGTATTGTTTTAATGCTGGATGTATTTGTGTTTTAGATATATTTATAGTT